AAGCATGCTTTAAAGAGGGTAGGGATGTTTTGGTCATAAACCAACAAGCTCAGCTGGACCAGAAGCACGGGATAATTTGATGGCTTGTATCCTTTGGATGCCAGCTGCACAAGGGGTGCCAAATTGTGCTCTTGCCATTGGCACAAGTTTTAGACTCTGATTCATCTTCTTGTCATCAAACCACAACAGGATGGGGAAAAAAGGTTCAAGGGGGGGGCCGTGCCTCTGAATGGACGGGGAGACGGGACTCCCTTGAACAGCCCCTTGCATACAGCAGTTTGGCTCCAAGCGGGCAGAGAGGATTCATGCTACATGAGCCTTGAACTCAGAATAAGAGCTGGCACTGGAGGAAAGCCAACAGTGCAACACTCATCTAACTGCTTAGGGGACTCTGTTGTTGTCACGTGAAACATAGGAACAACTGGAAGGCTCTGTTCAGAAAGCACTCAGGGTGGAAGTGCGTTTGCACAGCCTGGTGAAGGAACAAGGGCAGCACCTGCCTTTTCCAGGTCTGCCTGCAGCTAGTACCATTAGGGGAGTTTGCCTCTACCAGCAGTAGGTTAATTTTCAGCCTGAAAAATATTTTTAAAAGCCTCCCAGGCTTTTAAGAGAAAGAAGAAGTTTAAATCCCAGACCGGAAGCCTTAATTATAATGGATTTGTGTGAAAGTTGCCAGATCTCTCCCTGCTCTGTGATCAGGGCTGTGCCAAGAGTCTGCTTTGTGTCACACTAGCAACTGTGTTAAGTTCAGCAAAGTAACTGGGTCAAAGACGCAAAAGCAGAACAGAGATCGCTGATTAGCACTAATGAGAGCCTGCACTGCAGAGCAGAATGGAAGTGCAATCATTTCAAGGTTCTTGCTGTAATTACATGGTAGCCACACTCAGATTCACTCTGAGCTGCTCAGAACAAATCCTTTTGCACGTCACATTTTACATCTTAGAAAGTCACTCAGAGTCACCATGACCAGGAAACAGCACACGAGGAAACAATTGTGAGAACTAGTTTTTCATACTGCTGGAACTGAAATTAACTTAAAGAAGATAAGGAAAGGTTTGAGCAACCTCATAAGCAGCTTTTCTAATTACACAGCACTGTTGTTTTCAGTCAATGAATTCCATCTATTGTGAGCATAAGGTTATAGACAGAGAATACTGGTCTCATGTTCAACAATGTAATGGTGTATCTGTCCACAACTGTAACACCAGGTGCTCTGAAGATCACTCGAGCTTCAAAAAAAACCAGCAGAAATGGAGGCAACTAGAGCATTTTTCCAGTGTCTCACAGACTTTCCCTAAGAAGAAAAATCAAAGCGACTTGAGTTGTTTAAAGAAGAGAGCAAGAGCAAAAACAAGTATTGAATGATACAAAGTCGATCCTAGGCTTCTAGATAGCCTCATCTCATTCTCAAACAAAGCAGTGTATTTTCCAAGTAATAAAGACAAATACATCAACATAGCAATTAACCTGGAAGTCACTGCAACAGGCAACAGAGAAACATACACTGTCAACCTATGGATAGAGGGAGTACGAGCAGTTACACAAAAGATGATCCTCTGCAAGACTAAACAAGCAATTAAAACAACTCAGAAAATAAAAATTACTCATTAGATAATCAAGGAGAGAAAATGAAAAAAGATTTCTAGCACGTCCTTTCACTTTCCTTCTGAGTGCAACGAGACAGGGAAACAGGACACAATTAGTCCTATCAATAAAACACATTAAGCTCTCTGGAACACTCAGAGCCGCTGACTATCCACAGACAGAATGTATGCATAAAGCAACTGTCAGAAACGTGGTGGGCATATGGACCAGCAAGGAGATTTATGGCAGGACAACAACATAAAGCAACTTGCTTCAAGACAAAGAAATGAACGCGCTTACAAAGCGACAGCTACAGCAGGCTGCAAACACTCGGCTAAGGACCACAGGTTACCTGTCCACAGGAGCCGTGTTGAGCACAGAGCCACTACGCCTGCCTGCACAGGCTGCTGCAAGAACTCCACGCATGTGACAGGGTATAGCAGCAGCCTTCTTGAGTTGCTTACTCCCTTAATGGATGAAAAAAATATAGTGTGCCAATGCCTATGTACTGTTGGCTACATTTATGCACAATCATAGTAGGTCAGTTATAAGGTATCTTGTTATGAGTGTAGTTATAAATTTGTAATGATTCATTGATTATTTTTTTTTAATCTCCTACTGGTAAGGTATACGTAGTATATAACATATGCAAACTTCATTTGGAACCATTCAGGATGCTAGAACATATGGAAATTATCTTAAAGGACAATGGGAATGATGCCTTGTATCACTTTTCAAAGGAACATGTAAATACTACAACAGATCATTATGGGAAATGCCACTCAGCCAGAAACACTGGGAGAGAACTCATCATTGCACCACACAATGGATAAATGCCAAAAAAGCAACTGTTGCCTTTGGAGTGCCCAGTTTGTAACACCTTGCAGAGATCTCTCAGGGTTCTCAACCTAACCATCTATAAAGTGTAAGCACTTAAAAGCAGTGGTTCTGATTCTGAAAATTGCAGTTTTTTCTGTCTCAGAAATTTCAGGGTCTAATTGCATTTTCCCACAAATGAGCCTTAAACTTTCATAATCATCACAGTGTCTCTTCTTAAGGAGGGGGATGGTTCAAATTAACACACCAGCTCCAGAGATATTTCATTCCTAGTCAAAAATGGCACAAGGATTTCTTACTAAACGGCTCCCAACCATCAAACAGATGAAAAACTATTATTTTTTCCAATCACTTAACCAGGTTATTAAGTGAAATTCACTAACAGCAGTATTTTATTTATAGACTCAAGCTGATCAAATGTGGTAGACAAGAGGGGGACACAAAGTGTTAGACTGTGCTGATCAGCCCTCAGTTAGCAGATGACAGCTGTCAGTTCCCTATGAATGCTGTAGAAAGACTGTATGCTCCAGCACAGCCTCCTTCTCCCTCGGCAGATCACAGCGATAACAGTGTTCTTCCCCTAAAGTCTTCCTTGAACTCCTCCCTGATGCACAGCTGATACTGCCCTTTAATGCAGGAACAATTCACACATACAGTCACACACACTCACAAACAACAGCCATTTGTGACGACGGGAAGTGGATCCGATTTCCATTCACCACACTTTCCCCCTTTAGGGTGATTTTAGGAGAAAGCGGAAATCAGCATCACCATTATCTCCAGCGTGTGCTAGCAGCCACGCTGAAGCCAGTCAGCAGCGCCTGGCATTGTTTGGTGGAACACAAAAGACCTTCTGTTTGGAAAGTTCAAGCAAGAAAGCAGAGAGCTTGTGGCCTGGTCCTGCAGTCAAAAGGCTCAAACAGGGGCTGAGGAGTTCTCAGGCAGAGGCTGATCTGAAACCCTTTGAAGTTGACGGGAAAACTCCCATGGACTCCAGCACACTTTGGATCATGCCCGAAACGCACAGAAGGGAGCAAAGCAGCATAAAAGCAGAAACAAGCATCTGCTCGAGTGGAGTTTAAACAGTGTAGAGGTGACCGAATCTTTTCATCCTGGTTATCGGTACAGTGTATTTTTGTGATGTTCAAGCAAGTAGGATTATATCAGTCTTTTCATTAGGACACAGCAGTTGTACATTAATCATTAGGTACTTTTCTGGCTACAATGCTATGCGTGCTACCTTAATGTTGAGTGTTGAATACAGCATTTAGCAAAAGTCTCTGATGAAAGGGGGGAAAAAAATACCCTTTCAAATTGCTGAAAATATTAGTTTTCTGCTTTCTTCCCCCGCTACCCTCTCCCAAAAAGGCTAGTTTAAAGCTATGAAAAACACAGTCCAGGACTGAAAACTTTATTAAGAACAACGCTGCCAGCATCATCTACTCATTAGCAGCAGTTTGAGACAGAGCCCAACCCAGAAGAAACTCTTTAGCAGCACATTCTCCCAACAATTGCTAAAAGGATCCCAAGTGTATGGAGGTTCCAAATCCTCTGCTCAATTAGGGTGCAATTAATTTTCTCATTAAAGATGAATATAGGAGCATCCAAGAAGAAAGGAGTGTCTTCTGGATTCCGTAACACTTCCATAATTGTTTTCTTGCATATAGGAGTAATTTTTGCAGTGCTTTTAAAGTTTGGTTCTGTCTAGGTCCTAAATGACATATTCTGGGAATTAATTTGTGCGAAGCTTTTTTTTTTTTTTAAACACTTCTTGCAGCCTTTGCACAAGATTCAACGAAGAGCCAAAATATCTTTTTTTTTTTTTTTTTTTTTTGCGGCAGGTTTATCCTTCTTCTTTTTTAAAAAAAAAAAAACACACGAAACTTTAAAATGGGAGGAAAGAACATTAAAAAGGCAATTTTTGTTACCTGAAATTTGGAGCACTTCCCTTTCCACTCCATTCTCGATTTGTATTTCCCAGACAAAACTCTGTCTTATTATCTGAGGCAATCAGAAATCCAGTCGTTTAGTGTCTAATACCTGCTGTGCTTCCCACAACTCCTTCATATGACCTTTCGCAGCACTGATTCCAGCTAAAATGATTGCAGAGAACACAGACTGGCCGGGCCAGTTGTCATGGAGATCTCTCTCTCTCTTTTCATACACGAGCGCGCGCATACACACACATTCAGATTTGAACTATTCTGGGAGGCATCCACAAAACAGCATGCCTTTTCATCAGCTAAGTTTTTGAAGCATTCCACCCCTCCTCCAACCCCTCCCGAGAGTCATCCCAGGAAGCTGAGCTTCAGTCATGAATCGATTGTTGAAATTCGAGATATTGCCTTTCAAAAAAGGAAACCAGCACAGAACTTGTACTTTTTTCCCCCCAGGAAAGAAGACAGAGATGTTTGCTTGCTAAAGCTTTGAACTAAAAGTGTATCTATTGCATTCAAACCTGCGGGCTATTTGTCTTTGCCTGACTTGTTATGAACTTGAAATCCGAAAGCATGAAAGCTTTGTTGAAATACAGTCAAGCAGATTACAAGAAATGCTGCTGGCATGGCCTGACTCCTTACCTTGCTGTTCTCCAGTACCCAGACGGTGACTTAATTAGCACAGGTATTCACCGTGGTCATGCAGGACTTCCTGTATCCTTTCATGTTTCTGTAATTAAGAAGAAAAAAGTGCAGGTCAGGAACACGCAACTCAGACAAATAAAAAGAAAAAAGTCCCCCAGCCACACAAGAAAAAACAGATACATTTGGAAGTTTTCTCACACTGACTATAAGTTTATATGCCTCTTACCCAAAACTACCTCCCAGTTAAAGGAGAAACCCATTTCAATGACGTTTGCAAATACAAGAACTGATTAATTTACCATTTTCACTGGCACCATGGTTGCAAAACAAAACTTATTCCAAACATAAATAAAGACACACAACATTTTTTCCTTGACAAAAAAATTCTAAATTAATCCCCAGCAATGTCATATGGGAAAGCCTGGACAGACGAATCAAGAGAACAGAAAACACTTTTAAAAAAAAGAAAAAGAACATTCAGTAAGGAAATTCAGTAAAAAGTATTTGGACTCAGAAGAACAGCACTGTGCTCAAGGTTTTTACACTTGGAGAAATAGCTTGGAGACTTGCTCTTTAGAGGATTTAACCGGAGTCAGCCATTCAAAGTTTTAAGACTTCGTAAAAGATACTAAAAGGACTGCATGACTGTGCTTCTGCAACGAGTTGTACAAGCAACAGTCCCTCTAGTGGGCGTAAAATTGCAAAGCGGACTCTGCCATACTAAGTAGGAAATCAATTTCTTTTTTCTCTGTCAACCACTTCATGATGCTGTTATGATATTTCACCCCAGCATTAACAACTTAAAATAAAATTAGCATATGCAACCCTTTGTATGTTATTTAGGGAGATGAACACAAGAAAATATGTGCGTGCATTACATATCAACACAGCTAGGTTTACACACGAGGAGATATAAAAGAGTTCCAACATACTACTTTTCTGGTTGTGTTTATAACATGATAGCAAAGGTGGGATTAAAAAAAACCTAGACAGTGAGATAGCTGAGATGTCTTATGGGAACACCTATCTCTCGATATAGCTATTACAAAATACAAACTACACTGGAGCACATTACCAACTGTACTTCCGAAAACTCTACATTTTGTGAATGACAGAGCTCCCAGTGGATTGTACACTTAAACTGCCTCTCTTTCTATCAAAAACACTACCCAAAGGCATATACATGAGGCATATTTTGCACTGTTAGCAAAAGCTGCATGCAGACTATTCACAGGTAGATGAATATAAAAAGACAGCTACTGCAGCTGTCAAGAATCCTGAAGATGCTGAAATGACATCACATGAAATAGAAAGCACCACATGCTAAGCTTGCAAGTTTACACTAAGTTCCTTTAAGCATGCACCAGTGAAGCCCAGAAGAACCGTGGAAGCCAAATATACAGAATTATGACATGTTTTTGTTTTGAAAAGTTCCCTTTAGTGTAGGACTGAGGCAAACTCATCGCATGATGCAAGTAGGCACAGTTTCAGAAGTGCAACTGGGGAAAGAGCAAGACAGGTAGCTCCTCCCAGGAAAGGAATGCTTTACCCTACCTCACCACAAAGGGAGTGCTCACCGATGTAGAAGTAATTAAAAAAAACAGCCTAGGAATTGATCAATGGACAGGTGAAATGGTTGATCAGTCTCAGATTTTCTGCAGTCCCCATTACTGGTAACACAGGAGTATGTGCCAAGCACCTGCATCACGTCCCACTCCAGGGTTTATCACAAGGCTCTGTAGCACTTCATTAGGTGACCACATGTGCTTATGTAGCAAGGATCTCAGGGGACCACGCAAGGTAGCATTTACAAACAATTGAAAATGCTCATTACATTACATATACACTCAGTTACAGTTTAAAGTTCCAAGCAAACCAAGTTAGGTCATTAAAATATAAGATGCATGCACAAATATGTAGGTACACAGCAAAGTAGTATAAATATGGCCCGAGCCTGGATCTTGGACAGGTGACGACCACAGAAGACCCCAGAGAAGTACATTTCTGCTCTAAGCTTCGTGAGTACAGTCCCAATCAATTCCTTGCCAAAAGGTGAAATATTTTGCTCAGATTGGCCCCAGTAAAACAAGAACTATTCCCACCTTCTACTTTTTTCTATTTGGGCTTTTCTGTGAGCACATCAACACCACAAAACAAAATTTAGGCTCAGGACATAGTTTAGTGTCGGAAACAGAGGACATGATGAACAGCTGATATTCAGTTAGTTACAGTGTCGTGGCTACACAGTGATCAAAAAGCATTAGAATATGAATCCTCACTCCCTGCAGGACAGGCAATCCATTACTCACACATGGCTGATGTTTAGTTTCTTATTTCCGATACACTTCCCATTTCTGACTGGTTAAACACACTTCTTCCTATGCTCTGCAGTCACAAGCGCAGGATGGAGAAGCCACGTGGTGCACGCAGAAGTAGACATGCACTGAAAAGGGTGAGCATGCAGTGAGAGAGTCCTCTCCGGGGCACACCTGGCATCTCTGCCCCTGAGACTGGAGAGGGAAGTATGAGCTGCTCTCTCCGCAAGCTGCAGGGTCGGAGATTCTTTACTGAAAGCTTTCCAAATCAAGCAGACATCATCAGCAACAGGAGAGGAAACAAAAATCAGATTTGCTTCTAAATGACTCGTGAAATTTTGTCACTTTCACTACGTGAAAACACGCCACCAACTTTGGGATTTAAAAAGACAAAACCAGAGATGAGCTACAAACTAAGCTTCCCACAACAACAGCACAAATCTCTGGTAGGTTTAAATGGAGATTAATCACTGCACCAACTTCAGTAGCATTTTCCTTTGCATTTTTCAAATAAAATGAAGTTCCACATAAAAATACTCCTGTAAAATGATTAACCATTTTTCTCCCTCCTCAGAAAAACTTTCTGCCCCTTTCCAGCAGAAGATGACCACCTTGTTTCTCTTCCTCTCGCATCACCTCTACACCACAGTTACTAACTCAACAGAAAAAAGTGAAGCTGAAATACCCTGTCCCAGTATGCTTTTAACACAACACCATGGAAAGTGCAAGTGCCTGCAGCACCTCCTGACCTCACCGGGAGAGGCAGCAGTTCCTCATCACCAGGCAGTGACTTGCAGAGGTATGGAAATAAGGCAAAAGGCCCGAACCAGCTCATAACATAAAGTGTGCATACGCTACAAAAACTGCACTCTTTGCACTGTTTTTAGAGGCCCAGCTTGCAACGCTTTCGCACAGGGCATTGTGTGACCACCAGGTGGGACAAGAAGATGACAACTAGAACAGCAGCCACCATACTCTTTGGCGCAATTCCACAACACCATTAAGTCCTCCTTTGAGTTAACAGTCCGCAGCACTGGCCTTTATTATTAACAGTCCAACACAGCAGCAGAAGAGCACAGCAACAGAGCAAGTGGCACAAGATAATACCTCTGACCACAAAAGCATCGTTCTGCTGAAGAGTAAAACTTCCACTGACTTCAGTGGCATGTTCACTTCAATTTGGTCTCACCGCACCACGTTTTGCTAGGATTGTGGTATCATAGTAAATAGTACAAAAGTGTATCACGGCCCCTGCAAACAAGAAAGCAAAGGACTTGACCCAACGCATGAGCCCCCCATTCGCAACGGGACTGCACAGGTATAGGTTTAAGATCAGTCAGCTGTGAACTTGTTTTTTCTTGCTCCATTTCAGCATCAGATCCGCTACCCATAGTATTTCCACAACTCTCTCTTCTAGCAGGAGAATTAAAAATTTCCATGACCTCTTTAATAGCCCAACGAGGATGATGTTTGAAGCATTGTACTGATTTCACTAACCTAGAAAGAAAAGTGTGTGTGTCTATATATGTACCCACACACACATTATATTGTATATAGGAAATGACTAATCATAGCTGTGCACTCTTTGAGATGCTGCTATTCCCCTGATGGCCCTATATCCCATTTCAGTTTGATCTCATTCTGCAAAAGAAAGCCTGCCATACTCGGGTCTGACCCTGGCGTCTCAGCTGGGTGCAAGACAGCAATCTGAAGAAGTGCCTAAGTGATTCAGTGAAACTAAGAGCATATCTGTACCTGGGGGGTCACGACAAGAAGCTGACACACATTAAAATCCTGTGCAAACACTCATTCAGAAATAAAGTGGCTTAACTTTGTGGCTATTATTGTTTTAGGCCCCGATTCAGCAAAGCACTTAAACATTGACTTCAAAAGAACTTCAAAATATGCCAAACATGCTACAATATTCTACCAAAGTGGTGCTTTAGTAATGTTGTATATTTTAGAAAAGAGAGGAGGAAAGAGTTTTTATTTGGCAATTAAAGCTTTAAGATGTCATTTGGTGATATAACTGGGACACACTCCCCATGCTAAACGTACTAATTAGGTTGAAAATCTGCTGAGCAATAAGCTGAATAATTCCTTAATAAAGCAACTTTAAACTTATACAGTGTGGAATTAACTCATGTAAATGCCCAGCTTGAGAATTATCCATACCTATGGTCTGATTCATGACAGGAGACACATATTACAGCTCACCCTGCTAGGAAAGCGTTGCAAAACCAAACAAGCCATACAAACTGGCTCTGGGCCCAGGAAGCCAATTCAGCCAGCCCTCAACATCCCAGTGCTGCAAACTGTGTCAGATGGCACCAGGCCAAGGCACAAGCCAAGCCACAGGGATAACCAGCAGGTAGGAATCTCTTGCAAATAAGTCCTTCTACTCCTTAACTCTCCAGAGCCAGCCCTGTCTGCAACCCATCTGCACTCCAGTCAACACCCTTCCTGTGCACGGCTGTGCTGTATCCCAGGCATGCTTGAAAAGGAAAGACAGGAGACTGTAAGACCAAAACTGATGGAGGGGGTGAGCCCCCGAAGGAAGACTATTTGTCCTGTCTGGACAAAGCAAGAAAATTTCACCCTTTGTAGGTGTTAGTATCTTCCAATACCCTTTGTTACTGCATATATCCCTGTCAAGTGTGGATTTATGTCCCAAGAAGAGGGGCAAATGAGACAAGCAGGCTTCCTCTGGGAACAAACCATATCAGGAGAGATGTCAATGCATTGCTTGAAATTCCACATGAATTCTGATTT